GTAAAGTACAGTAAAGGAAATGGAGCAGCCAAAGAACTCATTCATACGACCCATGGACATGAACAATGGGGGCATTGCCTGAGGGAGTGGGGTGGTGCTGGGTGGAGGGGGGTAAAGGGAGAAAAATCAGACAAGTGTGATAGCATAATCAATAAAATATAATTAAAAAAGAAAAATATTTATTGAGCACCTACTATGAGCCCAGCTCTGTTTTAGGCACTGGGGCTACAGCAAGTGAAAAAAAAGAGACAGTCTCCACTAATAAAGGTGTCATTCTTGTTGGAACATGGGGGATATCATACAGTAAACATACCTAAATATAATCATGAAATGTAAACAAAATAATTGGGTACTGGAGGTGGTGATAACGATGATGGAAGTAAGGCAGGGTAAGACACTTCTGAGGGGGTGCCTTAAGGAGGTGTGTTTACTGCCCGTTTCTCCCTGAATGAGTTATCTAGTGCTACATAACAGATTATCCCAAGTTAGCAGCTGAAACCCACAGGCGTCTGCCTTGGTTTTGCCAGGGCCTCTGCATCAGGGTCTCTCACAGCTGTAATCGAGATGTCAGCCAGGGCTGGGGTCTCCCCTGAAGGCCTAAGCGGGACAACATCTGCTTTCAAGCTCACGCATGTGGTGACAGAATTCAGTTCCTGACACATGGCCTCTTGGCCGGCGGTTGCCCCAGTCCCTGCGTGTGGTCCTCTCTCACCATCGCTGGCTTTCTAAAACCAGCACAGGAAAAGTCTCCTGGAAGTGGCATTGACTCTGCCACATTCCTCTGATTGGAAGCAAGCCTCAGGACCCGGCCTCGTGCGAGTAGAGGGGGTTGTACGTGGGTGTCCCTACCAGGAGGCTGGGGTCATTGGGGGCTACCTGAGCGTCTACCTGCCAGGCCCTCCCTGCGATCCACACTGAGCTCTGCAAGGGTCACGGTGATGAGCACGTCCCCAGCTCTGAAGACCATCCAGACTCTCGATGGATGTTCGGTAAATGTCTGTGACCTGATGGAGTGGGAGTCTCCGCATCCACAGATGAGGGCGCTGAGGCCCAGGGAGGCCCTTGCTTCTGCCCATGCCCCACCACCCTCCCCAGCCCTCTACCTGCCTCTGGCAGTGTCCCCGCAATTCTTCTTCCCCTCAGGCTTTTGCACTTCTTCCTCCCACCCCGAGACCTGGGAGCAGTTTTGCTCTTGGCCTCTATTTCCTTGTGGGGGATTCCAGGACGGAGCAAGCAGAGGGACAGCAACACATTTAGGGGCTGTCATGAGTGCAGACTCTCCTGGGTCTCTGCCTGCTCCCCACCCCACCCCACCCCACCCCCACACCACCGCCTTTCCCCCTCTTCCCCTGGAGCACCCCCCCACACACGCACACTTGCTGTCTGGAGGCTACCCTCCCCCCTGCTGCTGACAGTCCCCTTTTCCCATGAGCTCCATGTCTGTCATCTGGTCCTCGGGAACTGTCAGGTCTCATCCAGAATCTCCATCAACTCCCCTGGGGACTGCCTGGCTGCTGGAGCGGATCAGAGGGACTGGGGTAGAGATTGGCTGCCCCTGCAGCTGGAGCCTGGCTGAGCCCGGGCATCGCAAAGGAGACGAGGGGCTGCCCTCACCATGGGCCAGGCACTACACCAAACTCCCCCCACACCGGAGCTCCCTGCCCACTCCCTCGGGCACACACTCCACCGCTGCCCCATTTTACAGAGGAGGGCAGGCTCCAAGGGCTTTGAGCTAGCGAAGGACAGGGCCTGGGCTTGAGACTGCAAGGCTCCGAGGCTACACCTTTGATCACCAAGCTCTATGGACCGGGAGTCTCCAGGAGCTGGGCTGTGCCTCTGCATCGGGTTGGAGACTCATCAGGACATGGCTATGCCTCTCCCGTCAGACTGGGATCCCTAGAGGCAGGCTCATGCCTCCTCCATCAGACCGGTTTCCTGGAAGCCAGAGCCATGTCTCGTGTCTCCTCCTTCCACCAAACTGGGCACTTCAAAGGGCAGGATGGGTTTGTGTCTTCATCAGGGCCAGGACATGGATCTCCCATCAGAGTAGAAGCTCCCAAAGGCAGAGCCCTGCCTCCCCCGTCACACTGGGTGCTTCGGAGGGCAGGGTCATGCCTACCTGCTCAGACTGAGAGTCTAGTAAGGCACACACGTGTGCCCTTCATCAGATTGGGGCTTCTGAGGCCAAGACCATGTCTCCCCATCAGACTGTGTGTTAAGAAAGGCATGACTGTGTCTAGGAGCTTCTGAGGACAGACTGTCCCTCCTACCTGCTCTCAGGAGCTCCTAAGGCAGGACCATGGCTCCTCCATCAGAACAGCAGTAAGCCGTCCCCACCACGTCCCCTCTGTCCTGGTACTTTGGCTCCCGCCCCCACTCCATATTTGATTTCCCAGGGGGGACAGAGAAGCAGGCACAGCCCCAAGCCAGGGTCCCCATCAGGCTCCTTCCTGAGTTCCCATCCACCTTAAATATATATTGAGCACCTACTTGCTCTATGCACGGGAATATTACTCAGCCATGAAAAGGAGCGAAGTGCTGACACTCGCTACAACACGGATGAGCCTTGAATACGTGGCACTCAGTGAGAGAAGCCAGATGCAAAAAGCCTGATAGCGTGTGATTCCATTTATGTAAAATGTCCAGAACAGGCGTAATCACAGACACAAAGAGTGGGTTCACGGTTGCCATGGGCTGGAGATTTGGGGAGAATAAAAAATTACCACCAAATTTGGGGTGATAACATGTTCTGGAACTAGATAGTGGTGAGGGTTACACAATCTTCTGAATATACTAAAACCTACTGAAATGTACACTTTAAGTGGGTAAATTGTAAGGTATGTGAATTATATCTAAAAAAAAAAGTGCCCCAGCCCTAGCTGGTGTGTCTCAGTGGACTGAGCACCAGCTTGCAAACCAGGGGGTTGCCAGTTCGATTCCCAGTCAGGGCATATGCCTGGGTTGTGAGCCAGGTCCCCAGTAGGGAGCAATTGAGAGGCAACCACACATTGATGTTTCTCTCCCTCTCTTTCTCCCTCCCTCCCCCTCTCTAATATTAAATAAATAAAATCTTTTTTTTAAGTGCCTCAGACAGTGCCAGGCAATAAGTGCTCAACAGAGGTTAGCTGTGATGCTCCCACATCAAAGATGGGAGAATTGCCCGGGTCACTACCAAGGTCAGGTGGGAGGAGCCCCTGTTGAAATGCTCAGGGGAAGTGCTGGGGGAAGGGAGGTCACTTCAGCCCAGGACCCCAGACCACGGACTTCCTCGCCTCTGTCCACCCAGTACCCGCTCCAGGCATTGCTCCATGGCTCCCTCCACTCCAATCAGAAAGCCAAAGCCCAGGAGGGTATGTGGCTCTACAGGACACACCTCAAGGTCGCCGGACCTCCAGCCTGGCTCTCCTCCAGTCCGCCTCCTCCAGCTGCTTCCCACACCCCCTCCCCATGCCTTGCCTGGCGGTGGAGGGGGTAGCCCCAGGGGAAGCCAGCTCAAAAGCACAGGGAAGTCAAATGCCGTTTGATTCTGCCTCCAGGGCCTCTCATTGCTATTCCTGACACAAACTGTAATTAGAGGGCCCCTTTCAAATATTTATACCTCAGACTCGTGTATTTATCTGACAGGGTGAGGACTCGGATTTGATAAAATATGTCATCAGCTCATCCCTGAGCCGAGCCCGGAATTACCTGGTGGCTGACAGAAAACAGGACTATTACCCGCCAGGCGGTCCCCAGGGGGACTGCCTTGTCGCTGATCGCTGATCGCTGATCGCTGATCGCTGATCGGAGTGGGCAGGGTTTGGCGGCGGCTAGGGGTGGGGGGTGGTTGGTGAGTGAACATGCTTCAGGGGGGAGGACTGAGTTCAACAGGTTTGTGTTGGGTGACCCAGCCAAAGTGAGATAGGGGAGGACACGGAGAAGCAAGCTCCTGCTTTGCCTTGTCAGCTCTGGCCCTCAGTTTTCCCACCTGGAAAATGGGGCTAGCAGTGGAGGGGAGATGGGGAACCACCGATTCCATCAGGACTCTGGTGGGCCTCTACTGCCACCCCAAGTCAGGCCATATCATAGCGTTCAGGGAGAAAAGAGCTGCAAGGTGGCTCTGAGCAAGCCTTTCAGCTTCGATGTGCCTCAGTTTCCCCATCAGGAAACTCACTCCCTCTGGCAATCCTTCCTCTAGTTCTTTGGGGGTTTCCTATTAGAAGCCCCATTTTTCAAGCCAGGAAAGCAAGGTGCAGATGGCATAGACATAGCGGGGGCGGGGCGGGGGGGGGCACTGTTCTCAGGGGCAGCTCACAGCGCAGTCAGCTGACTTCTGTCTGATCCTCCCTCCCCTGCAAGCCATGGGCACCTGACCACACTACAGGGCTGGGTCCCATCCTTCCTGACCACCCCTCTCTCATTCCAATGTTAGGGGGACTGAGCAAGCCCCCTCTTAAGGGGAAAGAAAAATGTACTTATTCTGGAAGTGGCCAGAAGCCCCCTTTGCCTCTCTCACTCCCCCACAAACCTCTCCGCGTCCTGGCCCTGGCCCCAGGACAGCAGCAGCTGCCGGCAGGCAGCCCGGTCTGGCGAGACCCTTCTCATTTCTGTCCCCCCCCCCGCCCCCCCGCCTCCAGCCCCAGAAGCCACAAAGGGACAGATGCTGAGGACACTAGCCAGACACAGATACCATCTTCCTTTCCCTGGCCAGCTGCCCCAACCCTCTTCCCCATCCTACAATTAGTCCCCCTGGGGAGCCGGGTACTGAGAAGAGCCCTCTTGGGGGAGGGGAAGCCAGATCCCGTCCCTTCTCTTGCCTCTCGTCAGCTGCGACAATATCGCTGCCGGTGACCTCTGCAACAATTTCCACACCTCCAATCTCCTGGTCAGTTTCGCCCTCGGATCCTGGTTCAATTTCAACCCTCAGTAGTGGTCACTCTCACCCCCTCTGCTGGTCAGTTTGCCCCGTCTGGTGGTCAAGTCCAGCCCCCCATTTCCCGGCCATTTGCCACCTCCCTCCCGCCCGTTCCCCACCCCGCCTCTGCACCTCTCGCACTCCTGAAGGTCAGCCCGTGTCGGCTCCCTCCTCCCGCGCTCCTCGCTCGCCCCCGCCAGCCTCGACCGGCCGGGTCAGTGTCCAGCTGCCGCGGCCTCTGATCCCCCCTTCCTCCGTGGGCAGCGGGTCCCCTCCCTCCCCAGAACAGCTGAAGGTCTCAGGCACCTCCGAGGGGAACGCAGGAGGAGGGCAGCGGTGGGGGGAGCCGCGGAGGGGGAGGCGGAGGGGCCCTGACGTCGCTGCCCCGGGCACGGCCGGAGGCCGGTAGGGTCTGGGCGTCCGCCCGCGCGCCCCCTCCGCACAGTCCCACCCCGGGCAGCGCGCCGGCGGCGGAGGGTCAAGTCTCTTCGAAAACGTGAAGGGGGGTTGCGGGAGGTTTTATTTCCCTTTGTGCCGGTGGCTGGGGCCGGATCGCGGCGGCGGGGCTGGGGGCCGGAGGGTTGTGGCTCCCCGCGGAGCGGCCGGGAGCGCCGCGAAGAATGCTCCGCGTCGGGGTCGCTGCCCGGGCGGCCCCACTTTGGGCGGGGCGCGGGGGGAGCCCGCCCTCTGCCCTGAGAACCCAGGGGTCCGGGCTGAGCCGGGGCTGGGGGCGTCCGCAGGCGGCGCTCTCCTCGACCCCCGGACCCCCGGAAGGGATCCCGGAGCTTCCCGGAGGCGGCTGGTGGTCGAGTCGCACACGGAGACCTCGTTGCCCGCGGAAACTCCGCGCGCGTCCGCGGCTGCCCCTCGCCCTGGTCGGACGGCCGCGCGAACGGCGTTCTGGAGCCTGCGGGGCCGCCCCTTCCCAGCGAGCGATTCTTCCAGAGCCAGGATAAGGTGGGCTTTGCGCCTCCTCCCTCCTCCGTCTCCCCCTTTTCTCTCCCTTTTACCCTCTTCTGAGCCCAGCCAAGGGGCACACCTGATCTTCCTCCTCCCCCTCCTTCTCTCCCCCCTCGGTCTTCTCCTCCTCTCTCCACCGGTCCTCCCCCTCCTCCCCGGGGGCTCTGCGGTGGAAAGGGGCCCGGAAGAGGGCATGTGCGTCCTCCTCTGGCAGTAGCCAGGTTTGGGGTGACGCGGGGCCAAATGGCCAAGTGGCTACGGGACTACCTGAGCTTTGGCGGTCGGAGGCCCCCTCCGCAGCCACCCACTCCCGACTACACGGAAAGCGACATCCTGAGGGCCTACCTGGAGCAGAAGAATCTGGACTTCGAGGACCCTTATGAGGATGCTGACAGCCGCCAGGAGCCGGACCCCGCGGGCCCAGGGGACTCCAAGTACGACTCTCCCAAGCACAGACTCATCAAGGTGGAGGCAGCCGACATGGCGGACGTGGCCAGAGCCAAGGTCTTGCTGGGCAGTGCGGGGGCAGAGGTTCGTGGCTAAGTGTGGGAAGCTGGGTGGCCTCAGGAGACTGGGTGGGGAGGGCCAGGCTGGGCCCCTGGACTTTGGGGAACCTATTTAACGTGTGGCCTCAGGGACAGGCCAGGGTGCCAGCCAGACACTCCCCAGTCCTTCACCTGCTGGACGAAGTTTGATGTCTGTCCCTTGTCAGTGTATCGTGCTGGTCACACCTACCTCTCTGACTGCCCTGCTTTGGTCTTCTGTCCTCCGCCCCTGCCCCCAGCTTCCCTTTCTCTTGGCAGCTGGAGGGACCCTCCTCAAACAGGCCTGAGGGATTCCCACCCTATGGGGCACTGAAGCATCCTCACCACAAGTCTTTGAACACCCTCCATTATTCTTCCCATTTTAGAGAAGTGGAAACTGAGGCTCGCAGGAAAGAAGAGGAGCGACTTGTCTGAGCTCACATGGCTCTAGCTCCAGACCTGCCTCCAGGGCCCATGCTTTTTGTAGTATTTTTCTTAGGGGATCTCTGCAAACCCTCAGCGGAGACAGAGGAGGCTTTGGGGAGGGTTAGGGGAGGCTGTGTTTGATTGATGGCACATAGAGAGGGAGGAGGGAACAGAAAGTCAAGACAGCATGGAATCAAAACCTGCCTCACACTAGCTCTGTGACCCTGAGTAAGGCACTTTCCCTCTCTGTGCACTGGCTTCCTCATCTATAAAATGCAGATAATGCGCTTACTGGGTGTTATATATTTACTTGTCAATATATGTAAACCATTTAAAACAGTGCTGACAGCTGATAAACATTAAAATTATTGAAGGGGGGCCCTGGCTAGTGTGGGTCAGTGGATTGAGCGCAGGCCTGTGAACCAAAGGGTGGCCAGTTCGGTTTCCAGTCAGGGCACATGCCTGGGTTGCAGGCCAGGTTCACCAGTAGGGGGCGCTCGAGAGGCAACTGAACATTGATGTTTCTCCCTCCCTTCCTCTCTCTAAAAATAGATAAATAAAATCTTTTTTTAAACTAATCTTTTTTTAAGATTTTATTTATTTATTTTTGGAGAGGGAAGGGAGGGAGAGAGAGAGAGACAGACAGAGAGGAACTTCAATGTGCGGTTTCTGGGGGTCATGGCCTGCAACCCAGGCATGTACCCTCGCTGGGAATCGAACCTGGGACACTTTGGTTCCCAGCCCGCGCTCAATCCACTGAGCTACACCAGCCAGAGCTAAATAAAATCTTTAAAAATATAAAACTATTGAAGGAGGGAGGCGAGAGGATCTATATCGGGGAGGATCAGAGCTGTATGAAGGAGGAGAACAGGGGAAGCTGGCTTCTGTCTGTAAACATTTGTGGGTGGTAGACTCCCAACAATCCCCCCTCCTGCCTCCCACAAACAAAGAGAGCTGCTGGGAGGGGATGCATCAGATGGCCCAGAGGGGGCAAGGCAGAGGGGGTACCATCACCCAGCAGGGAGTCTCCACGGTCAGGCTTGGTCTCCCTCCGCCTGTGCCCCTCCTTTCCTTCTCTCTCCAGTCAGAAGCTGACACAGAGTACTCTGACCCTTTTGATGCCCAGCCTCATCTGCCACCCCCAGATGATGGCTACATGGAACCCTATGATGCCCAGCGGGTTGTGAGTGGTGAGTAAGCAGGGCTTGGGGGAGGACTACAGGGTCCCAGGTGGGAGTGGGATCTGACCAGTGCCCTTGGTCTCCCAGAACTGCCTTGCAGGGCAGTGCAGCTGTATGACACTCCTTATGAGGAGCAGGATGGGGAGCCAGGAAACAAGCCTCTTTCAGGGCAGAAGCCTCGACAGAGCCGGCTGCCCCAGGAAGATGAACGGCCAGCGGATGAGTATGACCAGCCCTGGGAGTGGAAGAAAGACCACATCTCCAAGGCATTTGCAGGTGCTTCTCAAACCCAGACCTGGGCTTGTAAATGCCTGAGTCCCTCTGTTTCCTGCTCTGGTCCCAGCCCCTGTTCCAACTTATAAAGTAGACTCCAGTTACCAACCACTTTGGTAATTTGTTAATTCTCACTACAGTGTGAATAACTGATAGTCATAAGTTTCTCTTCCCAGAAGAAACTAATCTTCCTTGGAAACAGAAACACCTTTTAGAGTGCAATAGGACCTACACATTCTGCTCAGTATAGTGCAGGGAAAGGCTTTGGTGACAGACTAGACCTGAGCTTGTGTCCCTTCTTGGACAAATCATTTTATCTCCCTGAGTCTCAGTTTCCTTACCTGTAAAATGGGGGTCATTATGATACCTACCAAATGGGTGCTTGGAAATTGAATGCTATAAAGTGCTTGAATTACTTAGGAATTGTTGGGGAGAAGATAGTGTTTCTTAGTAGCTGTCATCGGGTAGATTGGGTAAGCTTGAATCTCTCTGAATCTCAGTTTCCTCTTCTATGAAAGGAGTAACAGTAAGGTCAGCTTTAAGAAATAAAATAGCTTGGACCAGGAGGAGGTGTACGAACCCAATTTTCCCCATAAGTTGTATCGCTAGGAGGGGAATTCGGGTTATGTGCCTCAGTTTACTTATCTGTACATCGCAGGTTGTTTTCTGGTTCTGTGATTTGCCTGGAATGGGGCAGAACTTGCAAGCCACCACTCTAGCCACGCCTACTGCTTTCTGATTTGTCACTCATGGAACTGTTCCGCCCATCTGTGACACCTGACTTATGGATGACCGCCTCCTTCCCTTTCTTCTGAAGGCCAATTGGTTGGTCCTGCACCAATTCTGCCCCAGCCCTAAGCCGAGCTCCTCCTCTCATGGATCCCATTGGTGCCTCCTTCTACTGAGATTCTACTGGCTTACCCCGACTCCGCCCCTCCCAGGTAGGTTGGACTTAAACGTGTACTCTCTAACCCTCCCCTTCCAGTGCAGTTTGACAGTCCAGAGTGGGAAAGGACCCCCGGCCCTGCCAAGGAACTCCGGAGACCCCAGCCCAGAAGTCCCCATCCCGCAGAGCGTGTGGACCCTGCTCTGCCCCTGGAGAAACAGCCGTGAGTGGGGAAACTGAAGATGAAAGAGTCGACTCTCTCCCAGCCCCATTCCAGCTACGGATTCCCGGGACTAGCAGGGGCTAGAGGAACTTAATCTATTCATTTATTCATTTCATTCATTTCTTCAGTAATCATCATTGGGCACCAGCCCTTGCTGTGTGCTAGACCACGTAGTTAGGTGCAAAGCAGAATCACATGGAGTCACACTTCCCTCTGGCATCAGATTCTGGGTTCAAATCCTGCTGTGTATTCCCTGGCTGTATGACCTTGAGCAAGTCACTTAACTTCTCTGAGCCTTGGTCTTAAAACCCCCAAGTTGGTGCCTAGCTCAAACAGAGTAAAAGAGCATTTCCTTCCCTCCTTCACTGGAGTGGGGCTTATAAGCCTGAAAACAAAGAGGCAGAAATCATTCTCACCCCCAGGACAAGACTGGGATAGAACTTGAAAGAACAGGATTTGAGGACATCCCAACTTTGGACAGGGGTGAGGTGCATAAACTGAAAAGGTTTGGGTCTTCTCCGTGTCCCTCCAGCTCTGGAGTCCTTGAGGGACTCCCTAAGCCCCCAGGTCCCAGCTCTGTGGGTGTATTTATGTCACGGTGATTCCTAGATCTCGTAGGTGGGTGGTACAGACCTGGCTAATGGATACTGAAGCGCAGGGTGAGAAGTTTATGCTCTTCAATTTACTTTCAGTACAAACAGCCATGAAGTCCCTGATGCTCACCTGTCTCTGAAACCTTGCTCACAACTGCTACCTCTCTTTAGGCACTTAGAGAAAAATATTAAGTAACGAAGGGTACCGGTGGGTGGGGATACAGGCTGTGGCAAATGTCATGAAAGTGATACTCAGGTGACTCAGGTCGGGGAGTTAGGGAGGGCGCTGAACTCCCCGGCCCAGGGAGGCTGAGATCAGCATCAGGGGTGACTGTCAGAGGTTGACAGCACCTCCACGTTGACCTGGGCTCTGTTGCCGCCCTGCAAAAACCAGGCTCCTCTTGAGAAACTCAAGGTCTTTTCTTCTTTGGATTGCCTGGAGGTCAAAATCCTTTAACCAGCTGTGCCTGCACCAGACCCTGGGGTGTGTTGGAAGGGGAGTGCCCTTCCTGAGACATCTGCCCCTACACCCCAGGTGGTTTCACGGCCCTTTGAGCCGGGCAGATGCCGAGAACCTCCTCTTGCTCTGCAAGGAAGGCAGCTACCTTGTGCGGCTCAGTGAGACCAGCCCCCAAGACTGTTCCCTGTCCCTCAGGTGAGACCTTCAGGGACAGAAGGTCACAGGACTGCATGTATCATGGTTTTGGGTTTATTCAGTGGGAGCAGAGGGGTGTAGTTCCAGCAGCTAGTGGGCTGGGCTTTCAGGCCGAGGGATGAGACTTATGGGACCTGTGAGTGGGATTTCCAGGGAGACCACAGGCAAGATTTTTACTGAGAATGAGCTCCCTGTCATGGAAGGTATGCAAGAAGATGGAGTGGAAGATCTAGGACTTCAGCGAGATGGAGAGCCAGATGCCCCAGTCCAAAAGTTAAAGTATATTCATTTGTGTCTTTCTGGGGCCAGGATCTGAGTGGTCCTGTAGGCATTTGAGTTGGAGACCCTGGTTCTACATGCTTCTCTGCTTAAGATTCTAAGCATGTCTGACCATACAACACTCCTAAGATTCTACTAGGCTTCTGACTGTGAGATTTCTAAAAGGCCAAGGCTGAAGAGGGCTTTGGAGGCAGGTTCAAATCTAGTCTCTACCACTTTCTAGCTGTGACCATAGCTGCATTGCTCAACCTCTCTGAGCCTTGGTTTCCTCGTTTATGAACGGAGGGTAACAGCATCAACTTCATGGCAATACTGCAATGATTAAACGGAAAAAATACATAAAAAATATTAAGAATAGTACCCCAGAAACAGGAAGTACTTGACTCCTATTAATGATGTTGATGAAATGATCCCCGGGTTCTCCATGATTCCACCCACCAGAGACAGAGAGAACAGAAAGGGACCCCAGACAGGGGGTTCACTAGTAGGGAGGCCAGGCAGGGTCAGGAGGTTTGGAGAGAAAGTGCAGTTTGTGGTCCAGGGGAGGGAACGTCCCCTGGCAGGACCCCCAGCCTGCCTTGACAGGGGACAAACATAGAAGGCATTCCTGCTGTGGGGAGCAAGCCAACACCTTGGTACCAACTGGCTGTTTACCAGAAATATTTGGAGATGCCAGCCCCCGGCTGCTCGGGGCCATGGTGGGGGGTAGTTTCAGGGGTGGAGAGCGAGCTGGGGTCTGTCTGGAGTGCTCAAGGCCCCCTGTGACTTTGTTCCCCAGAAGCAGCCAGGGCTTTCTGCATCTGAAGTTTGCGCGGACCCGAGAGAACCAGTTGGTGCTGGGGCAGCACAGCGGCCCCTTCACCAGTGTGCCCGAGCTGGTGCTCCACTACAGCTCACGCCCGCTGCCTGTGCAGGGCGCTGAGCACCTGGCCCTCCTGTACCCTGTGGTCACCCAGAGCCCCTGCCCTGGAGCCTCTGCCCCCTGCCCGGCTCCGTGAGACTGAGATTCACTGGCTGCACTGGCTGCAAATGCTGGAGGTCTTTCAAGTCCTGGAGGAGGCCCAAGGGGAAGCCTGCCTACCCTTCCAGGCCCTGGGTCTTCATTAGGGCTTCCCTCTCGGTCCCCTTTGGGGTTCTAGGGCCCCGGATTGTGTCTGAAAGTCCTCCTCCTGCCTGGAAAATAAATAAGTTATTGTGTATTTCAAGCGTCCTTTCTGGGAGGCCGGGATCCCAGCCCCTGGGAAGGATGAAGAAGACCGACCCTTGGAGAGGGAAGGGCATCCCCAGCTCCTCATTTTGGGGACAAGGTTGGGGTTGGAGCCTGAATTGCTCTCAGGGAGGAACTAAAACTCTGAAAGCTGTAGACAGTGTAGACTCACAGATAATGACGGAGAAGCCCAGAGAGGGCTCTCAGGCCAGCCCCACCCCCATCCAGCCCCTCCTCCCTATTAGGGCAGGCAGCTGAGGCTTGATGCTGCAGCTGAAAGGACATCTGTCCCCATGGAAACAGCAGAAAGTGGGGGAGGGGAGCCGGCCTGGCTGGTGTCACTTCAAGGTGACTGTCGGGCAAGAGACCCCAGAGGCTGATAAATGCCAGGGAGTCCGATCTCCCTCCTCACCCCCACATCTCCATCCCCCATCTCCCAGCCTGCTTCCAGGGAGACGCCAGCTGGGGATAGGGCTTCCAGTTGAGGGCACTACTTGGAGGCTGGGGGCATCCCTTCTCTGCTAATCGGACATGTCCCTCCAAGGATAAGAGAGGGGAGCTGATGAGTTGTGATAGCCCCCTCGCCACAGTGGACCTCTCCAGCCATCCCTGAGGGCCCTGGGACCCCAGGTAACCCCTCAAGTGTCTTTAGCACCCCCAAATTGCCACAAAATCTGGCTTTGCTTTCTTCATGAGCCTTTATGGGGTGTCCTGGGGGCCAGGGAGAGGTCCATAGCCAAAGAAATGAGGACAGGAGTCTCAGGGTCAGCCACTGGACTCCCTGATACCCCTGGAACCAGTCATATCTTTTTTTCTTCATTTTGAGAGTACCTCTGTTAAAGCAGGGGATGCTGACACAGGGGAGGGCTTTGGACAGAAGGAGCAACAAGAGAGCCCAGGTGGGGCTGCTTTGGCTCACTGAGAAGTCTGAGAAAAGGGGAGACTGTGGAGACAGGCTGAGGCATTAGCCCAGGATGAGCTGCCGCTGCCCATTGCTCCCCTGGTTGCAAGTCTCGTGGGGCCCCCTGTGTTTAGGAGATGCACCCCTGTGGGGGGAGGAGAGCGGGAAGGGAAAGGTGTGTGGGCATGCTCCTGGGAGGGAGAGCACACCTGACCCAGTCATCTTGACATAGGTACTGGAGGGTCCTTCCTCTCTGCCTCCAGGGGTTCTGACTCCTCTTTCAGGTTCAAGGAACCCTCCTGATCTTAGATGCCTAGAAGAGCCTGGGCTGGGAGAGATTCTGCCTGTAGAAATGGGGTGACTGGGCCAGGGCTGGGGCTGGGGCAAGGTTTGGGGACCAGACGCTACTGAGGGGCGGGGGTGGAGTGGGGAACTGAGATGGAATAGAAGCTGTGGCCCTCCTGGCCCTGCCTGGGGATGTCCAGCACCTTCCCCTCCACAGGCCACCACTCAGTCTTCTTTGGGGTCTCCTGGGCCAGTACAGGATGTTGCTGTAAAGGGCATTACCTGTTGAGGGGAGATGACAAAGGCAAAGAAGGGACAGTCTCTTAAGAGAGCCTGGCTTTTTTCAGCCCTCCTCTGAGGGCTTTGTCTCTGCTTCTGAAAAGCCTGGATGTAGTGGGCAGCTTTCTCCATCTATTCCCCTCTTTTTATGCCCCAGCCCCACCTTCCCTCCCAGAAGTGGTAGATAGGGACCTAATCCATCCTGGTCATTAGCTGCAGTTCCCGACTCCGCCACAAGGGGGAGAGCCCCCCCGCCCCCCCCCCCCCCCCACGTCCCCGGCCCCGACCACTCCCCAGCCTCAGGAACTACCTGCTGTTACCTGTGTCCTTGTGCCCCCAGAGGCTGCGGCCCCACAGCCAGGCACCCAGTTCGATGATGATGTTCCCCAGCCACTAGCAGCATAAAGAATCCTGAGTGTGAAAGGGCAGGAGATGACTAACACAGGGGACAGGAGTGGGGCAGGAGGAGGGACAGGGCAAGGCTCATCAGGGAAGCCAGAGATCTGGTTCCATCGGAAGTGGGCCACCTGCAGAGATGAACCCTCTGCCTCAGAACACTCCTCTTCCCATCCATCCTCCTGCACCCTTTACAGCCAGAGCTTCTCACCCAATGTGGCACCTCAGGGTCCCTATCCCTGCCATGCTGTGTGAGTTTGGGCAGGTGCTTGCTCTAAGTCTGTTTCCTCTTCTGAAAAACAAGGCTAACATTCCCATGTTGTTGGGTTATTGTGGAATAATTGCCAACTGGATTTTTTCTCAATGCTCCATCGCCCAGGTCAAGAGCTCCAGTCACCTTGCTGTGACCTCCTCACCCTAATCACAAGGGGTCAATTACTTGCCCAAGGTCACAGCAAGTGAATGGCAGGATGGGGACATCCTTCCAGGTCAATAATTGACATGAACCCCAGCCAAAGCTTCCTTCTGCTGCAACTGAAGCCCAGCACCCACAACCCCTTCATCTTCAGTTTCCAGTGCTGGCGGCAGTCCCCAGGGGCTGGGAAACAGCTGTCTGGGGGCGGGGAAGCCAACTGTGCCCACCAGCTCCCAAAGCTTCAAACAACTCAAAGCCTGGTGCCCCTAATTGGTAATTGGCCCTTCCTCACTGGAAGGGTGGGGGTTGGCAGGACAGCCATAACATCCCACCCTGGAGGCAGGCAGTGGGTGGGGCCTGTCAGCTGGAGAGGAGTGGGCATCTCTTGGGGCTGGGAGCCAGGCTGGTGCTCCACTCCACCTGACAGGGGCAGGGCATGTGCCCAAGGCCATCAGAAACCACCTGGAGTGAGTGGGAGACCAGTCTGAGTCGGCTTGGGTCTCCCGCCCCTGCTCCAGGTTTGACCCATAAAGGGGTGTTACGTGGAGTGAGGGGCTATGTGAGCCAGGCTTGAGCGGCCGAATCGCTGGCCTGCGTGTGTCACCAGACACATCCTGACCCGCTCTGGGCCTCAGCTTTCTCATCTGCGAGTGGAGGCAGCTGGCTTAGCTGATCTGAAGAGTTCCGTCGGGCTCTGAGAGGCAGTGACTCTCAATTCTGGATTCTAGAATTCTCTGCTCTTACTCTGAAATTGCAAAGTTCTAAGAGTCTATCTATTTAAAGTGTTTAAGATACTGCAGTTCTAAGATTCTAGAATCATTCATTCCTTTATTTCAGTGTTTCTCAGTCACTTTTTGTTGTCACTCCATTAAAGAGACTTTTTAAAAATCTTAATTTGCTCCCCCATGAAATTTTAATGCCATAGATATACTGTAAATCTGTTTTTTGTATTATGCACATCTATGCTTTATACATAGAAGGAGTGAGATTTTCTTTTCTCCCCCAAAACAAATTTTTACCTCCTTAGGAGTGGTATGCCCATTGAGAACATATGCTATAGCTCTCTTTTTTCACGTTTAAAAACTTTTTAATTGAATGTATTGGGGTGATGTTAGTTAATAAAATCATGTAGGTTTCAGGTGTACAATTCTATAATATATCATCTGTATATTGTATTGTGTGTTCACCACCCCACATTTGCTATGTTTCCAACAGCCAAGAATTTTAAGGCCCTAGGATTCTAGAATGGTAAGATTCTATTTCGTGGTTCATGATTCTAGAATTGTCTGGGCACAAGAGAGATGTGTACGTATGTTGACCAAAAGACAGGTTCTAGTTTGTTCGCTGCAGCCTTGTTCCTGATCGCTAAAACCCAGAGCTGCCCCAATGCCCGGGAACAGGGCGTCAGGCCGATAACGGGCTGCGGGGTCACATGCTGGAACCCTCTACCCCGAGGGAAAAGAACAGGCCCCAACCGTGCGCACCGGCATGGGTGACTCTTCCCAACATCGTGTGGAGTGAGAGAAGTGAGACTCAAAAGAGAATGGACTCTATGATTCCATTTAAATAAAATGGAAAATCAGCAAAATGGATCTAGGCTGCTATAAATCAGGACAGTGTCGTGGCGGGGAGGACTAGCGGTGAAGCGCCAGGAGGGTAGGGTCTAGGAGGCTGGAATGTATTTCTTGAGCTGGGTGGCGGGCGCCAGGGTGGCCTCCGCTATGCCAATCCACTGCTATGGTCTGAATATGTCCCCCCCAACGAATGCATTGGTTGAATCCTAACCACAAAGGTGAGGATATTTTGAGTGGGGCCTTTGGGGTACAATTAGATCATGAGGGTGGGGCCCCCAGGAATGGGATACGTACCCTTATGAAAGAGGCCACAGGGAGCTCCCTCGCCCCTCTGCCCTGTGAGGACACAGCGGGAAGATGCTATGAACTGGGAAGAGATTTTTCACCAGAACATGAACGTGCTGGCACCCTGACCTCGGACTTCCAGCCTCCAGGATTATGAGAAATACATTTCTTTGTTTATAAACCACCCAGGGTACAGTATTTTGTTATATAAGCCAGAACAGACTAACACCCACTGAGCTGTGCATTCCTCTGTATATAGGCTATGCTTTAATGCTGTGTTTAAAAAAAGGTTCAGGAATTGTTTTAAATAAACATTCCTGAACCATATGCACTCAAGAGTCTTGATGACTATGATACTCAGGAACTGGCTTCAGCAAAATATACAGACTGTGGATCAAATTTGGCCTGCTGCCTCTTTCTTCAAATAAAGTTTTATTGGAACCCAGCCCTGCCCATTCACCTACGGCCACTACACAGGCTTTCGTGCTACAGGGGCAGAGTGGAGTAGCTGCAAAAGAGACCAGCTGGTTCACGAGAAGAAAATATCTACTATGTGGCCCTTTACAGAACAGGTTTGCTGGATCCCTGTTCTACAGTTATAAGTTCCAGCATGTTGTTGGTTCTGTGATCCAGAATTTGATGTTCTCCTGTTTGTAGGATTTCTGTTCTTAAGAATCTGGTTTGAGTTTAGTTTGTTTCTAGCTGTTTGAGATTCTAGAGTCATAAGATTCTGGAAGTTCCAAGTCCCTGCCTCTTCTCCTGACTTGTTCTCATACCTGTCTCCAAGAGGAGCTGTGTTCCACTGCCCTTGGCCTCCACCAACTCAGCAGTCTCCATGGTTGTCCAGCACAAGTAGTTCCCACTGTTGTTGAGGCTCATGCGGTCCAGCTGCAGGGTGAGAATGCCAGGCGGCCACCAGAAGAGCCATCCCTGGGGCCCACGGACCTCCAGGCTGAGGTTGCTGTTGGTGACGCAGGGTGGGCAGAAGGCAACACCGGCCTTGGTCCACTTGACATGAAGCTGCTCCCAGGCTTGAGGCTGCAGCACCTGACAGGTCTAGGTCACCTGTCTGTCCTTCCTCACCTGTAGCAACTTGGGCCTCTGTTGCACATTTAGCCCTGTGGCTCCTTGCAGGGCTGGGACACAGAGCGGGTGAGTGAGGCCTTTCTCAGTGTGTGTGTGTGTGTGTTACTCCCCTCTCAGTGGGGTGAGGCAGCAAGAAGTCAAAAGTTTGCTGTCTGTGTGATCTTTTGCACTTCTGCTTGCTGAGGTTCAATGGCCTCATCTGTAAAATGGGTACAACTCCCTCAGCCCCTGTGAAATTTCAAGATGGACTTTATGACATACCCAGCTCTCAGCTACACAAACATCACTTTGTGTGGCTGGGCCCTGTTCTGGACACTGTAGACTTTGACACAGAGCTGACGGTCTGGGGCAGAGAGACACAGGAAGTTGGGAACTGGGAACTGTGGTAGAGGCAAGGAGCAGGGCATGGCAATGGGGGGTAAGGATGAGCTGAGAATCTGCTTATTGAGGGTGGTCAAGGATGGCCTCACCGGGGAGGTGACATTTGAGCAGGGATCTGAATGGTAAAATGTAGCCAGTCTTGGGAAGGAAGATATGGAGGAAGAGGGGTCCATGTAGAGGGAAGAGCCTGTGAAAAGGCCCTGAGGCTGGACTGTGCTTGATGAGTTGGAGGAACGGCCACACCAGCCAGGGCCAATTTAAGGTTTAAAAAGATCACCCCAACTGCAGTGAGAACTGACTATGGGGTGAGGGGGTGTTACAGGCAGCCAAGGCGTGAGGATCCAGGTGAGCAGTAATGGGGGCTGGACCCTGGAGAGAAGTAGTCAGACTCTGAATGGATTTTGAGGGCGACCCCCAGGAGAACTGCAAGGAGAACAAAATTGGAAGACAAGCAAAGAAGGATGATGGTGAGTGCCAAGGTTTCAGCCTGAGACACTGTGTGAATAGCCGTGGATCGCGATGGCTGTTGACCAAGATGCGGGACACTGAGAGGAGAGGAGGGCTGAGCAGGGAAGCAGTTTGCTTTTGGCACCTTATAGATCCCCTAGAGGGGATGATGACTTTATGTTAAGCTCCTGACATTTGAAACACAATTGCAGCTGACATTAGAAAGACAAGATCCAAGGAAGAGTATTTCAGGTGGAGGGAACAGCATGTGCTAAGGCCCAGAGGTGGGATCAAGCTTGGTGTGCTAGAAAAAAAGAAAAGAAAGAGAAGCCAGCAGGCTAGCCAGCGGGGAGGAGGGAATGCAGAGGGGATGACGTGGAGATGAGAGAGGCCAGTGGGGCCAGGCCCTGCAAGGCCGATATGCAGGCCATAGTTTGAATTTTATCCTGGGGCCCCCTCTGAGGACGCTGCTAGGCTTGTTCAACTCTCCTAAGGTTCCGAGTATCAGAGAAAGGTGGGCCCTGTTTGGCAGAGCAGAGAGCCTAAGGTTTAGAGGGGCTCAGTGGGCGGGGCAGGCAGCTGGAGTGATGGACAACAGAAGGGGGTACAGGAGGGAAAGAGGCCCACGCGCTCACCACAGAACTCACCAGGCAGACCAGCGCTGTGCCCAGGGGCCCCATTCCTGGCCTATCAGGCCCTCCTCTGGTGGCTGGCACCCTGCCACCTCCTCTACCCCTCCCATTCAACAGAGTTCCTGCCATAGTCTCTACCCCAGGCACAGAGGCAGGCGTGGCACCTGGGCCAGACCACATGAGCCTGGCAGCCAGTGCTGCACAGGGCTCTGCTTCCAGCTACATTTTGTCTCAGTTTCCCAAAGGTTTTTTTTTTTTTTAATCTGGAATGCAATAGGCATATGTGAGTGGGAATGTGTCCCAGTGAGTGGAGATCTTCCTGGAACACTCTATATGAACACACCTGGCCTGGGGGGGATACATTGGAAGGGCAGGTGATGCAGCCGTGGGGGAGGGGAGCCCAGGAAGATGGAATAGCAGAATCCAGTGTTAATTATTTTCCCCCAAAATGTCTTCCTTTGAGGGTCAGAGGCAATGATTTCTGCTGATGGCTTCAGCTCCCACAACAGGTGTGGAGGGTTATTCTGACCCCATGGCCTGGAGAGAAGCTTGCCAGCTCAATTGAGGGGGTTCACAGGCTCTGGACTTCCAGCCCTGCACCTGTCACCCCCCGGGGCCAGCAGCTTCCTGGGGAGGAGGGGGCAGACCCCTAGGCCTCGGCTGCAGCCTGACCTCCTTTCTCGCCCAGAAGGAAATAGGTCCTGTGTTCTTTGCAGAATTGTGTTTTTATCAACCATAGGGAGGCCCCTGGGGTGGTTCTCTGCCCACATCTTCCCAGCAAACACATACAACCTCCCAGCCTACCCCCGCCTAGTTCTTCCCTCTCCTTTGAACTGTTTCAAATTTCATCTCCCCCCACCCTCTGATGAGGAACGGCGCTGCGGATTCCGGATAGAGTGAGTCCCAGGCCGATGCGGGAAGACGGACCTATTCCCAGTCCTGCGGATTCTGGGTGGGCAGGTAGGTTTCTGGAGGAGATCTGAGAGACTTGGGGCTTTGTGGGATGTTGGTTGTGATGTGGGCAGGGGAAGAAGGCATTGGAGACTAAATGTCCTCTTGGGCAAAGGCCTTGGCTTTTCAGTAAATGCAAGGCTGTGAGTAGTCAGGGGCCAGATCTTGGGGGCAGGGGTTGATGGTAGAATTCCAATCTGAGCAGCAGTGTGGGTGATCAAGTGGGTAGACTGAGGCACCAGGAGGATTAGGACTAGTTCTAGGTCACAAGGTAGGGCCCAGGGTCGAACCCAAGCATCCTGTCTCCCAGCTCCGGGGTCTTTCCAGCTCAGCCATCACTAACAAATACCAATGTCTCTTGGTACGTACCAGACTCGAGGGGTGGGAGTGGGGGTGTCCGGGTTCTCAGAGACTCCAGGGCGGGACTACATTTCCCAGCCTGCAGCGCGGGAGGCGCACCTGCGCGCTTCGGCCAGTGATGGAGCTCTGAAGGGGGGCGCGGTAGCGGCGGCGAGAGCTCGGCGGGCCATTGGCTCCCGGCAGCGGCAAAGGCAGCTCGAGGACTACAAGAGCAAGCCGGGCCCGCGGGCCGGGCCGGGCGGAGCTGGTCTTGCTGCCATGGAGGACCAGAGGGTAAGATCAGGGCGGGGTGCAGAGGGACCCGCCTCGGGGGTACCCAAGGAGAGGGGACCAGATGATGCCGCAGCGCCTCCCCGCCCCCAGTTGCTCTGCGGCGGAGGCCCCACCCCTGCCGCAACCTGGCCCAGTATAGCCCCTCAATGGGGACGCGTGCCCCCCACATTCGTCCAGACCCCTCATCATCTTAGCCTGGGTTCAGAAGCATCCCTTCCACGCCACACACCTCTGCCCAGTGTTGTGGACCCAACCTTAACCCCATCCCCCACGCCTTCAGACCGGACTGCGGACCAGGTGTCCTAGCCCCCGCCCCGCGCCCGAGGGCGCCCCACCGCACAGGTGACTCCACCAACCCTGCACCTCCAGAAAACAGACCCTCCCGAGGCCTGGGTCAGAGCTACAGGCCCCAGCAGGGTCCTCCCACGCTTCCTCCTTCCCCACCAGCATTCCCTCCCGGCGTCCCCTCCTCCAGACCATCCTCCTCCCCACTTACCTGGGCCTTCCCGCCGCCCTTCTCTTCAGCTTCCTCCTTTCTTCGTGCTAATGCCTGTTCCAAGGGTCTCCCCTTCCCCAGGTTAGCCCATTATCTTCAGTAATCATTTTCCTCTGGGGTTTTCTTTCCCAGAGCCAGCCCCTCACCCGGAATTATGCCCCGTCCTCAGGATATAGGTTGAAGGCTTTGTGCTCCGGCGTAGGGTCTGTTCCTCCGTGAGAGGCTCTCTGCGCCTCATTTTCCTCCTCCTCCTCCTGTAAAATGGGCATCTTCATAGTACCCACCTGGTGGGTGAAGGAACGTAGGGCCAGAGCTTTACCCAGGGCCTGCCTCGTAGTGGGTGCCCAAGTTCAATGGCACCCACATTTCCCTGGATCCCCAAAGATCCAAGTGGGGACCCCCAGGTGGGGGAGCTGGGCCAGGCTCTGGGGCTTAGTGGCCCTGAGTGTGTGCACTTGTGGTGGGGGCAGGAGGCTCTGCGGAAGATCATCACCACACTGGCCGTGAAGAATGAAGAGATTCAGAGTTTTATCTACTCCCTCAAGCAGATGCTGCTGAACATGGAGGTGAGGGCAGGTGGATGGGAGGGAGGGAGGGGCAGCCCTTTGAGCTAGCCTATTGCCATTGATGCCGGTGGAACTCGGGGCCCCACTGCCATGTCCAGGCCTCAGTTTCCCCATCTGAGCATGGGGTTTGGCCAATCCTGGCTGTTCAGACCTGCAACATCTCTCCAAGGCAAACTCAGCCAAAGTGCAGGAGGACCTGGAGGCGGAGTTCCAGTCCCTGTTCTCCCTCCTGGAGGAGCTGAAGGAGGGGATGCTCATGAAGATAAAGCAGGACCGTGCCAGCCGAACCTACGAGCTGCAGGTATGTGTTTCTGGGCACTCTCCGAGATCCCTGCCCAAACACCATCCCCACTGTGCCCCTCAGATTCAACAGAGCCCAGTTGGCCTCCTGTCTTTCTCCAAACCTGCTCCTTTTCCTGTGCGCCTTCTTGGAGATGCCTCCAACTGCCCCCAGCCAGACACCCTGATGGTGTTATCTGCACCTCCTTTTGCCCTGGTCTATTGCCTGGCCATGACCCATCAACCCCCCCACCCACCTGTTCTCCCTCTTAATCCCCTTCCTATCCACCCCCCTCCTCTTCACTGCCACACCCCACATCTGGTTGTTCCTCCCTCATGTCCTCACCCAACAACTCCAATTTCACAGCCCTTCCCACGGGTCCCCCAGAGCTGATGACCACCCCGCCCCATGGCTCCTGGGGAAATCTCATACTCCAAGCTGGGATCTCTGGGGCTGCGTCGAGACCTACTGGGCAACTTCCTAACATCCCGGGTCCCTTTCCCCAGGGGATGTGGGGCCCTGGGGCTCAGGTATGGCCTGGGCATGTGAGTTTTTCAAGAAGGGATCCCCAGGTGATTCTGATGTTCTGCCAGGAGCAACACCCAACCCTTCTCCAGCCTCCCTCTCCCACCTGGAGTTGGAGAAGGATGCAGTACCCTGGATCCCAAAGGCAGTGGGGAGGCCCGGGAGTGTTTGATGCGCTGGGGTGAGGTGTCTCCTCCCTCAGTGCCGTGCCGCCCACAGAACCAGCTGGCTGCCTGCACTCGGGCCCTGGAGAGCTCCGAGGAGCTTCTGGAAACGGCCAACCAGACTCTGCAGGCCACAGACAGCGAGCACTTCCCTCAGGTGGGGCCTGGGAAGCCGTGCTGGTGGGGCTGCCAGACGAAATGCAGGACATTTGGTTAAACATGCATTTCATGTCCACCACGAGTGATTTTTTTTTTTAGTAAAGCATGGCCCATGCAATATTTAGTGTAAGTATGTCCTGTCTGATCTTTGGGACATACTTACACTAAAAAAA